GTGCAGATTAATCTGTTTCTACATGTGCAGATTAATCTGTTTCTACATGTGCAGATTGAACTGTTTCTACATGTGCATCTGTTTCTACATGTGCAGATTGAACTGTTTCTACATGTGCATCTGTTTCTACATGTGCAGATTGAACTGTTTCTACATGTGCAGATTAATCTGTTTCTACATGTGGAGATTAATCTGTTTCTACATGTGCAGATTGAACTGTTTCTACATGTGCAGATTNTTTTCTTTTTGTCTTCTTATTTTATTTTATTTATGTATGTTTTGCTGACAGCTGTGACCTTAGTATCTATCTTTCATTTGGAATGAAAATCCATGAATTCTTGATTTAACCTCATTATTCTGCACAAAATGTAACTGACTCAAATATGTTTGGAGCATTTTTAGGTCCTGTTTTATATCCAAAGTCATGTTTAAGCACCTTTTTTCTAAATAAAAACATTAATTAATAACTCAAGTAATTTATTTTACCAACATGCAATAAAGTTTTATATTAATTTTAAAATGAATCAGGATTAATTCACAGCTACCTTGGAATTAATAGATTAAAAAATTTTAATCATTTGACAGCCTACTCTAAACCTAACTAGTAAAGCACAGCAGCAAAGTGAGGACATTGAAGATGTCCTCACTGTGCATCGAAGACCTCACTTTGATAGTAACAATGGTGCAAATGGTCCTCACTCTGTAGTAAAAGCAAGTACACACACACACACACACACACACACACACACACACACACACACACCTTAAATCACAGTTTAATTGAACGTGGTCCATCCATCCAGCTGTGAGATATTTTGCTGAGTGGATGAACCTGTTCCTCCTGCAGGCCATCATGAGGGCCTTCTGCAGAGACTCCCTGCAGCTCTACATCCCTGAGATCCAGGAGGAGGTGCAGGCCGTGGTGTCACAGTGGCTGCTGAAGGACTCCTTGGTGCTGGTGTACCCAGAAATGAAGCGGCTGATGTTCCGCGTGGCCATGAGGGTTCTGTTGGGCTTTAAACCGGACCAGATCAGGCTGGACGAGCAGCAGCTGCTGGAAGCTTTTGAAGAGATGATTAAGAATCTGTTTTCTCTGCCCATCGACGTTCCTTTCAGCGGACTCTACAGAGTGAGAGCTTTAAGATTTTCATTAAATGTTCAAATCAACGAGAACCTGAGAAAATACAAAGCACAGTTTTTAAATGATTTATTAATTATGTAAAGAAGTGATCCAACCCAGCCTGACCCTGTCAGGAACCTTACTGAACTCTGACCTTCACTGACCTTCAGCTCTTCTACATTGTTTTAGCTCCTCTTTAGAACTGATGCTGCTCAGTCGGCCCCTCCTGGGAGGGTTCCCACTGTTTCTACATGTGCAGATTAATCTGTTTCTACATGTGCAGATAATCTGTTTCTACATGTGCATCTGTTTCTACATGTGCAGATTAATCTGTTTCTACATGTGCAGATTAATCTGTTTCTACATGTGCAGATTAATCTGTTTCTACATGTGCAGATTAATCTGTTTCTACATGTGCAGAT